AAACCACATCGTGTTGCATTAAGATCCTTTGTGTTCAGTGACTCGTTCAAGCTTCAGAGGGAGTGTTGGTGTAACAAGCAGAAAATTTGCCTGCACAGAGCTTTGAGCAGAGCCTTTTCTCTCGGTAATCATGTCGGGTGTCCTACTGGGAGTTGGCTTACCATCTATCTGAAAATAAAATCTATGGAGAAACTGTAGCTTGTTTTTCCAGTGCTGCCTCCCCCTTGTCTGTTGAACCTTTTGGGACTCTCCCCCAGCTCAGTTTTGAGGCATGATAGATGTCTGCCCATACTTATGCTAATGTCTTGTAAAACCCCTGAGTATGATGCATGGAAAGCACATCAGCTGTGTACTCCTATTCCATTTCACCCCCTTTGTGCAGGCTTGACCCCATGTGTTTCTGTCATATTCCATAGCTAATGACCTGAAAATGTGCGGGTAATGCCCACAGCTGAGGGTTTGCTTTGTCCAGAGAGGTTTCACGGTTTCCATCAACAAGAGACGAATTCGCTTGGCACTAGTTTCCAAGCAGATGTAGTACTGTGATCTGGGTCAATCACGAGTAGTTCAGGCTTGTTTTGGCCACATTTTGAATGTCTTTTTAGTAGAGCTTTGAGGAAGAAAAAAGCTGCACTGACTAAAAGTAAAAAGATGTACTAAAATCCTTTCAAAAACAGTCTTTGAGACTGAGCCAAGTCCAATATCTGCATGGTAAAGAGGAATACACTTGGCCCCTGAACATGGAAGACGATACTCTATCCCTGTAATCCGCCTGGCTATACTGTGTTAGTGAATTCTGCTATTATAGCTACCACGGTCAATGTTAGGCTTACTTTGAAAGTATCCATTTACCGAGTAGGTACTATGACTGGATGCATCAAAATTGAAAAACTACTGTAATAGTTTTATTTTCGACATCTTGTATATCGCATACTCCATTGACCTATCTTGTGTACTTGTGCCAGGCACAGATATTGTAATGTTTGTTATTGGTGCACCCAGTTATGTAAATATTAAGATAAGTCTGCAACGTAAGATAAATCGGAACATTCCTTGAAGCTGGAATAGAGATTCAGGCTGCAGAACGTACAGGAATTGCCCGTGTTATACAACCAGCTATCACTTATCAGTGTTTTTCCAATAGTTGTAATTATGTTGTCTGGCCATGTGAAAAATCCTTACCAATATCAGCATACTTCAGCATACTGTAAGTGGTTTTAAATCTGCCAGGACTTCATTTTGTAGTAGGAGGGAAATGGACTTGTTCACGGTGTGTTGAGTTCGCAGTGGAAACAACCGCAGTAATGCAATACAAGAAAGAGCGGATGTTCACAGGGTGATGAGGCACAGCGAAACGCGGGGACATAAAACCACCGCAAGTATTTCACAATGTCCAATACTGTGATGGCAGTAGCGCTGACGCTGCCAAAAAAAGAGAAGCCTGGCATTGGGTGCTGTTACCCCTGTTACCAGTGCCAACAGTATCAACAGATACAGTAACCATCCCCTGTGGCCAAGAGAAAGTACCAGAGGGGATGGCCAATGGTAGGTTGTGATGTCTCTCTCTCTGGTTGCCTGCCACACATGGCCTGCATTCATCACTACTGTCACTTCATCAATAACAACTACACAGGCTAAGGACAACAAGACCCCAGGTTGACCTGGCACCACTGCACCACAAGATGCATTGTTCGCTTTTTCTTCCACATCAGGGTTGCCCAGATTGCAGCCATGTGTTATTTATAGCAGCTAAAGGTCGATGGGCATTAGTGTGTTAATGAGATGGCCCTTAGGTAATGGATGTCTGTGTTTCTTTTCGGCTGAATTCTGGGTAGATAAAATATGACCCTCACCCTTACCCATGATGGGTGTAGCTACCGTAGTAGATTAATCACCTTATTCTCAAAGTTGATGATAGTCTGTAGAAAGCAGGTATGAATATTGATACCTGGTACATTTGTCTTTGTAAAGTGAGATGGTCAATATTGACAATGCTGAGTGCATTTGATAATTTTCCATTTTCATTTGGAAAACAACAGATATGAAAACTCGATCTACCTTAAAAAAGTGACATGATACTCTTGGGAAGAGTTTCTTCGACACAAGATTCCTTTGTCCTGAGCTTCTGGCAGTACCACAGTTTTCAGAGCCTGAAAGACGCGATAATCACATAATGTGGTGGTCAGTTTCAACTTATAAAGTTATATATCTTGACGTTGAGCTTGAGGGCCTGCATGAGGGTCCTGACAATGCTCTACGCAACATTTTGAGAGTTGGCTGAATTCAGGAAACCTCCCCATTACGTTTTACGATAAATTGCTGGGTGCTACAACGCATTACGTAGAATCAGAATGGCGAATTATGCTCTACGCAAAATGTGCCAATTACAGTCTACGTTGAATTAGAGCTGTCCATCTATGCTCTACGTAGAATCAAAATGGCCGATTACGTTCTACGGAAAATGGCGTGTGGGCCCCCTCTAAAGCCTCCTCTAATGCCGTTTTGATTAATCCTATCAAACCGATCAGGACAAGGCCTGGTTGGATATGATGAGAGGGATTGAAGGATCAGTGGTAGGCACATTTCCAGCCACTTCTCAAGGTTTCCACCATTGGTGTTGGTGAATGTTGAAGATGACACATTGTGCCTGGGATTTCATAACCCCAATCGCCTTCCCCTGGGTTTCCACACCATAACGCAAGACTTGCACTGCTATCTGCCCAAGGCTGGAAACTCCATTATGGGCAGTGAGCCAGGTTTTCATTCAATATCACTGC